ATCCGTATCGGTAAAGGGCTCGCATAGCCAAGGCGAGACAATTAGAGCATGCGAGAAGGCCGGTTGGGTCAATGTTTTTTTTTCTCTCGGCTAGGAGGGTGACTCTCCTACACGAGACAGGTTTTCTCCATATAAAGGGAATTAAAACTTTCGGATACAAAACTTGTAATAGAGAAGGAATCAGAAAAAATTTCAAAATTCTCAAAAAAAATAATATTGAAGCACTTGTAATTTCGATCGAAAAAACTACTCAAGTTGCCCTGTGGATGACCGAACAGTTGTTATAATTATATGGCGCCACACAGAACTTAGTGATTTAGATAGCCTAAATTAAAAGGGTTTTCAATGTTTTTAAGAGGAAACTGTCGTTGGGTGCCCCTGTCAACTATCGCCTAACGCTACCACTGCTTTCTTTACCGACATAGTTTTTTTTCAGTTTTACTCTCGGTCATTTGCCATTTTCTGAGTGTACGCTTTGGTACCGTTCTTGAGACTGAAACTTCTCGAAAGTCCCGATAATTAACGGGCCCCTAAAGCTGTTGTTGTTTACATGCAAGATAGAAATTTCAATAGTTTTGCATCGAACATGATAAAACTATCAGTTAATGAAAAAATGAAGTATTTTGCCAGCCAGGACCCGCGCTCCTCTTATTCCTTTTATTTCGGTTGGAATATTTGATTTCGGGCCCGAAAAGTTATAGGGACTTTGGACAAACGGGCCCCACCGACCTGTTTCTCGAAAGTCCCGATAATTAATGCCAATGATCCCTTTCGGCAACAGCAAGTCGTTGGTGAATTATGCTCACTTCTCGAAAGTCCCGATAATTAACGGGCCCGGTAAGTTGTCTCCGTTTACATTAAAGATCGAGGTTTTAATAGTTTTGCATCTAACATGATAAAACTATCAGTTAATGAAACAAAATGGAGTAGTTTGCTAGCCAGGAGCAGCGCTCTTATTCTTTATATTTCGATTTGAATATTTGATTTCGGGCCCGAAAAGTTACCGGGACTTTCGAGAAACGGGAAACCTGGTCCGTTGTCAAAGGCCGCAAGACGGAATTTACTGGAAAAGTAAACTTAATGCTTTTGCCTAAACAGTGTCATTTTAACGTGAATTTGAAGACGTCAGGGCCTAACCCATTGGTAAACACGTTTGATTCCAGCTTTCTAACTTGCTGTATCTGCGGTATATCTTCTTGGTGTCAGATTTTAAAGCTTGTTTGAGTAGCCGAGCATGCTGCAAGGAGGAACTGAAATTGTCTGATATACTTTGACATATCTTTTGGTAAAGGAATGAGAGACGAACAGGTCAGCGTTCTAGACCCCAGGTTTCTTTCATTGTATATATTCGATACTAGAAACTGAAACTCATGCCTTAAGTCTTCACACTCAAGGAGAGGTTTGTAGACTTGAAAATAGCGCTACGTCATCTACCACTTCACAAGGCCGCCCTGCCTGGATAGCATTTCCCCAATAACTTTGCAATATTTTCTTAGTTGCGTTTGCTAATGTAAGTTTTTAATGCTGGTTAGCCTGTGCAAGCATTTGAAAAGGGGAGACAGGGTTTAGAGCGAATTGCTTACCTAACATCCTTGACCAAGAGTTACAGCGTAACCCTTTCGATGGATTCTTCTATCCCCTCAACGGTCTTACCATCGGAGTCTTACTAGGTAGTACCCAACTAAGATTCAGAGCTACCCTTCCCCAAAATATACATACGAAATAACGTGATTTTTTTATTGTGATTCTTCACTCAAAACAAAAAACGCTTCCGAGATCATTTATCCAGGTTGTTCAAAGTTTAAAACCTACGAAGTGTTCGTGTGTACTGGCAGGGTGTATGATTTTGATGTTTTCCAAATTCCTTAATAGTCATTGCTTTTATCACACGCGCAGGTGTCCGAAAAACTGACCACCACTTTACACTTTTAAATCAAGTACTGTTGGCAGCCAGACTATGCAACCCTTCAGTTGTTGTATAATTGAACAAATAACTTTGGAAACATCAAAGAAATGTATAAACAATTTTGTTGGCTGTTCGAAGGATGGTTTTCGTTGTCACGCAACACCACTCCTTGTCTTCTCACACTTCCGTCCCTGTACGTTGTAACTGATTCTATTAAATGGTAAGAACATCTTTCAAATCGCCGAAAATGTCTTAAAAACATATTTTTCTTGTGAAATATTTTGTTCAACCACCTTAAGAATTTAGATCATAACGCTCATTCGGTTTGAGTGACATTTTAATAACCTGGCCCATCTTCAATGACCTCTCGTTAGAGGTCAAATTACAAAATGCCTTAGCGCCAGCAGAATTTTGGAGCTCGAGAGTAGAAAAAGTAAAGCAAGTGTCCCAAACTATAAAAGTAAGTTAATTTCTATTGCATGTTGGCAAATTAACTATCGTACTATAGAGGTACATCAGGTTTCTTCTCAAGAAGTGCCAATGATCCCTTTCGGCAACAGCAAGCCGTTGGTGAATTATGCAAATGCATCATATTTTTTGTTCAAGTTCAGAAGGTTCGTCTGAAGCGCAAATTAAATTACCCAAGCCAGTTCTTACATATGTTTTAGTACAATGTTTAACTAACTTATAGCTTGAGTTTCAGGAAAAACCAAGGTGTAGCACATGCCTAAAAATTAAATCGCGACTTAAGGTCTAAATTTAAACTTCGTAGAGTTGAAAAAGAACCAAACCTAAAGTAAAATTGTTTACCTTCCACATTATCGTTAAGATAAGAATTCACCGCCATACTAGGGCTAAAACCCTTTATAAATTGATTTATCAGGGAATATTTTACCACGCTTTCTTCCTTTTCGCGTGCGAGTGAAGTTTTGAGACCGCCTCATTTTGCCTCAAATTTTGGTTGTTTTCAAGTCGCCGACCACGAAAATTGATTTTGTCGATTTTCTCCAAATCCAAGCGGCCTTTTGAAAAACAAACTACACCACGTTTAGTTACTTACTAATAAGTATGTATGGACGAGATATGAGCGAAATTTAATTTCTGACCGTGGCCGCCGGTTGCTCGATTTTTACAGACTTTCGCTCTTAAAGATTCAGAAGGATTTGATTGGCTGGAATCGACAGAACTTGCTATCGATAAGCGAATTTATTCCACAAGATCAAGACTAGACCTACTATGAATGTTACAGGATTTTTTGTTTCCTGGACCTTTGTCAGTATTGTTGCGTTTCAATAAAACTGTAAACACATAGGCGTACGGGCCAGGGGGTGAGGGGGGCTGCAGCCCCCCAAATTTTGGGCAACTCAGAGTTTTTAGGCAGCGAGAGAAAATTTGGGCAAAGTCAGTTTTTAAAGACGTCGTCATGATGAAGACCTGAATATTAACCTGAAGTCGGCGTAATAATCCAGTTACATCACAGCGGTTGCCTAGCATGTGATGAGTAATTCACATATTTGCAGTTTTTTTAATGTTGGGCACTATGCTACACTGCACTAGCTGGAATGGGCTATTTCCAGTCGTGAATTGATTAAAATAAACTTTCGCATAACTTTCTAGAATCATCTCCACTCGAAGAACAGTGTATGGCAGATAACATTAGCAGTGGGTATGAAAATGAAGAAGTGACTGACTACTGAATTCTCAGTTTGAATTAGGATAGATAATAGCATGATTTGTAGTGATATTTGGCATAAATAACACGAGTGATATTTCAAAATTGTTATACGTACCACTGCTCTAAGCCAATCAAATTGCAGAAATTTCTCATGTAGTAGTATAGCGAGAAGAATCGTAATTCTTTTAAAAAATCTATCGAGCGGCTTAAAATTATTCACTGATTTGTTAAAGTAGACCGAAATGTTCGCAAAACCGCTAACAAGAGTGCTGGTTACATACTAATCAAATCCTTCTTTCGGTTCTAGCAATCAAGTAGTGCTAGGCCACGATCTTTCACACATGTTTTTAAAAAGATTAAAACTACTATGAGGTGAAATTGCATGTCAAAAGCGCTTCGTTTTCTACAGATAACGGCCAGACATCAAGATTTTCCTTTTCTTACCGTATTTCTAATAATAAAAACTTCTTTCCAAAATATCTCGACCGTATTGGAGAAAAAAAGCTCCTGTGAACGATTCTGTAAGGTTCCCCGTGCCGAGAATCATTGCTGAAGTAAAATAGGTAATGGGGTCATTTCGTTGCTATGACAACTCCGATGTCATTACAGCCCTGATGATGAAAAATTGTCATCTTAATACAACAATATTTCCAAATTTTTCTTTTTGTCGACGTAGTTTATGCTCAACTTGGTATTGACCCTGGAAAACTGTATCGAGCCACCTTCATATGCCAGGACGGCCTATGTTGTTGTAATATGGCGATCACTTCTTTTCGACTCTTTCGTAAATATTTGGGCAACTTGAAAGATTTTTTTGGGCAAATGGTTTACCGCCCCCCCTGGCAAAAAAATTCCCGTACGCCTATATGTAAACAAGCAAACTTCAAGCGTGTTTTATTGATGAATTCACAATCTTTACAACCTTTTGTCTATACAGGATATTTCATGAAATTTATTATTCCAAACAAACTTGTTTCATTTATTTAGAACAAACAGGAAGACTTAGGGTTCCTTATATTGTTAAGCATAGCAATACATTTTGATCTGGGTGCATCTTGCACAAACCCTCTAGAATAAGAAGGCAACTTTCTATCGCTTTCAATCTCTTCATGTTCTGTGATAATATAACGTTGAAAAGGTACGTGTTTGCCTTCAGTGCGTCTTTCACTCAAAGCCTTCATTCAACACACGGTAACTTTCGGGATGATGCCTGTCCTCCCTTGCATAGAAGACCCGCATTAGATATGGAGGAAGACAGTTATGCATATTAATAAACGGAAAACCGGGCAAGACAACAACAAGGCTTAATTTTATCCCTCTACGGACTATTGACGCGTTTTTTGATTTAGCGTCGACATCTCTTAATTGTTGCCTTTTTTCGTCGTGGTTTTTTCATTTTTTCGTTGTTTCCGTAAAATTATGTTTGTGTACGTTTCACGTGAGGAGTTAGACAAGGTCTTGTTATCGAAAATTGAACCTATCGAAAACCCGCTGAACTTTAATGAAGACAAGTTCAAGAAGTTGCTAAGTAGAGTGGAGACGCTCGAGAAGACAGTAAAAGCTCTTCAACTAGAAAATCAAGCTCTGAAGTCTCAAATTAACTCTGTTAATACTAAGGAGAAAGAGAATTCAGCTTTGTGTTACTCCCAGTTACATCAACTGAGGTAAAGAATGTGATTAATAGCCTACATTCATCTAAAGCTTCTGGTCCTTATAGCATCCCTGTGTTTTTGCTAAAGCTCATTAAACCTGCATATCATTTCCTATACAATTAATTTAACCTCTCCTTTACTGAGTAGTGGCTGTGTGCCAAATCGCGAGAGCTCGCATATAACGTGGCTTTGTAGTTCTGTACTTGGTAAGGAAATTTATTTCTTTGCAAAAAGGAAGACACTATCCCCAAGAAAAGCAATTTTCCAGCACAGCAATGTCAGGAATTTACGTGCTTCAACGGTCTACACGGTCTACACGGTCTACCATCATATGAGATAAATATAATAATATATTCTATTTCTTACTGTTGCAGAATGGTAGACCGTGGATGATGGTAGACCGTCAGAAAATAGAAATTAACATAGCACACAACTTTTTCTGCTCTCTAGCTCTAACGGACTTTAATAACCATCTTATTTTCACCGTAGTAGATGAAAAAAACTGAACGGTTTTACTTTAACAGCGATGTTGAAAAATAAGTCACGCGGTATACCGATTACATAACGCCATTGCATATCAAATGTCATTGCGTTACAGATACAGGGGTGAAAATGAAGGTTTGGCAGCTTTATTCGCAACTATAGTATCTCTAGATACCAAGAAAAAGAAAATTATGCTGTTATTATGCATTCGCGCTTCTCAGAGTTTAATTACAACGCCGAAACTTTAAGCTATGTCACGGTAGATAATGGCGCATGCGTTACAACAAAACTGAGGCAAAATTTACAAGTCACTACATTCTTAAGCGCTTTTTTAGGCAGTTTGCTATCAATGACAATGATGTATCGGCTGGGAAAAGCAACACAAAGTGCCATTCTATTTATTTATGTCGCTATAGTCTTCGTTTTGGGAATTTAAGACGTGGAAATCGCTTGTTGAAGTAAACCTTAAATGAGACAACCAGTTGCAAAAGTACTTGAGACACTGTACCGTATTTTGGCATAAATGGCCTGTCCATGATCTTGTGCTTGTGATCCCCCCTCCACCCCTTATCAAAGTTGCTAGCAATACAAGACCATACTCAAAACGTGGAGGAACAACTTTGAATTGGAGGGAGAAGGGAGGTCAGTATTATATTTTACAGACCTGTGACCAGGAGCGATTTGAAGCAAGAAAGGTCGTTTTTTCGTGGGAGTGTTTCATCATTTTTGCAACTGGTTGTAGCTAACGTTATTCCTATCTACAAGAACGACTCTGTGATTTGCATGAACAACTATCGACCCATCTCTCTGCTTTCTAGTTTCAATAAAGTATTGGAAAAACTTGTGCATAAGAGACTTGTTAATTTTATTGATAAATACAACATCTTGTATGTCAACCAGTTTCGCTTTAGAGAACAACACTCTACAATCTATGCAACTCTTCTAATTACAGATAAGAGCCAGAGAGCTATAGAATATGGCCTATTCTCATGCGTAATCTTCATTGATTTGTCAAAAGCCTTTGATACTGTTGTCCATGGCATATAATTAGAAAACTAAGTCATTATGGGATCCGTGGAATTGCAAATGACTGGTTTACTTCCTATTTGCACAATAGGAGGCAACATGTTTCTATTGGTAGCACTAAGTCTGGTGACATTGTTATTACTCGTGGAGTTCCGCAGGGACCGGTACTAGGTCCCCTCCTATTTCTCTTGTATATTAATGACTCAAGTAATCGCAGCGAATTATTTGACTTTCACACTTTTGTTGATGATACTGATTTATTTTATTCCAATCGTAGTCTAGCTGAACTAGAGGATGTTATTAATAATAATCTTTTGCTTATGGCAAACAAGCTCTCATCGACAAGACAAATTTCATTATTTTTCACGCCCCTCAAAAGTCAACAAGTCACGCAGTCAAATTATTACTCGCCAATAGGGAGATTAAACAAGAAAATTTTATTGAATATTTAGGTTTACATATTGACTCACACCTTAGTTGGAAGTTTCACATTTTGCATATTTCAAAAAAAAAAAAAAGCACTGTATTGGAACGCTTTCTAAAATTAGGTACTTTGTTAACCAACAAGTCCTTATTCAGTCCTACTACACACTTATTTAACCTTTTTTGACTTATGGCTTAATTACCTGGGTAAATACATATCCAACTTCTCTACAGCCTCTTATTACTTTACAGAAAAAAATAAAATAGAGTTATAACCTTTTCTGATTTAATTATCATTCTAGTCCTCTCTTTCGCAAGATGGGGATACTTAAATTAGGGGATTAAATATATTTAGACAGTGTTCTTTTTATGCATGATTACTATTCTCATAGACTTCCAAGTACTTTCAATAATTTCTTTAAAAGCATTAATAAAATACAACAATATGCAACCAGACTGGCCTCTAAGAAGTCTTATTATTTACCGAAAGCTAGGACGAGTTATGGGAAAATTAATATCCATTTCAGCGGAGCTAAACTGTGCAATGCTATTAAAGATCTAAAATCAGCGGGTCGTTCTCGCTTTAAAAAGCTTTTAAAAGAATCTGTCATCTCCAAATGTTGATTGGTGTACTTTATATGCAGCTAATTGTGTGCACAGCGGTTGTTTTGTCTTGCTTCTTTGATTATTCGTTTGTGTATTTGTTTATTTATTACAGCTTAAATATTTTTTTGCAGTGTTTTCGCGTGCATTTTTTTATTTATAACAACTTCGATATCTAGTTACTTTCCCGCATGGCCTATCCATGCGGGAAAGTAACAAGTATTTCTTTTTAATGACTCTACACTTTTTTACCAAGAGCACAATAAAGATTGTTGTTGTTGTTGTTTGTTGTTAGAACGCAGAAAAAAAACTTAGACGGAAGTAGTTGTAGTCCAAAAGATTCTCAAGTTTTTTTGCAAACGGACCAATAAAATTCAAGGTTCAACAATGCAACCGTTGAAAACTTTAAAACTGTTTAAACTTACCTAACCTCTCAGGAAACAGCCCTGAAATTCATGAAATTTCATTGTTCCGTTTACAAGAAAAACGTGAGAATCTTTTGTTTTCAAAAACTTAAAAGTGTGATTGGATAATCTTCATCCAGGTGCCCCGGTTTGAGTAGTCGCACTGTAAGTGTTCTTAAGTGTAACTGAGCTCGATTCATTTCTTACTCAGAAAGCCAATCGAACTCAACTTGCGGACAATACATATATCCATGACTAGTACATTTCGGTGAGCGTATTGTCAATGTTTTACATTCAAAAGATGCGATAAATTCAAACTAAAATGTACTAGTCGTGGAGGTATGTAAAGTGCGCAATTTTTTTGGAATAATTAACCTAACGTCAAAACAGTGAATGTTGTAACGCAGGTTTTTGACAGTTTCGTAGGAAAGGTTTGCCTTGAAATTTTAAGATGTTGCAGTGAATCAATCTCAATGAAAGTTTCAGACCTTATTATATACATTATGAAGATTATGTGAAAAGATTCCAAAAAATTCGTTAGAGTCCTTTCAGAGATATACAAACAAGCGCTAAAAACCTAAATTTTGAATGAAGTTGCGCTTATACATGTGCTGAGAAAACGGGTTAGTTTTTAAGATCGCAAGAACGAAAATACACCAAAATTTCCTAGCATCGAAATATGATATTAAGCAGCATTCTGAAGCTACTTAAGAATTTAAACTCAGTAAATATTGCAAAAATAATTTATTAGATAGTGCCGATAACTTTTAAATTCCAAACTTTATATAAAAGCAAAATCAGCTTAAGTTTGTATGTCTTAAAAAATCCTCTTACGGAGATTGTTTGCTAAACACCAAACTTTAAGTTCCCGGTGTTGGATTTTCAGTAGCTGGTCTAGATCACACAAAATTCAGCTTTTATCAGTTTCAAAATTTTTTGTTTATGGTTGTCATAGTAATATAGATATTACTTAAAACTACATTTTCACAAATTTCAATCCATAGCCAATTGCTGGTGAAAATTTTGTAGCGATCAGACAAGAAAAAAACCACTTTTAATGCAATTGAAAAATATAGGTATGGCCTCTGAAAAACTGTATCGAAACACCTTAACATGTCCTTTACTTTGACTTAAGATTGGCTAAGATTGGATTCGGCGACTGACTTGAAGTAAAAAGATTCTATGAGATTCTATTCTCTCAGGTGATAAGTTTGACGCATGACACTGACGCGACCTAATTTTCTTCATGTTCCTTATATTTCTGTAGATGGCCTTTCGAACAGTGTTTTTGGCTGCCAATCTACCTTTACTCTTCGGCTTCTTGCATTGGAGGGGAAACGTTCCAGGCGACGGCAACGAGTTCAAAACAGGTCTCAAACTTTTAGGATTAAAGCCAGGGCCACTAGGCTACTTCAACTCTGCCTACATGGCCTTCACTCGAGCAGAGGCAGGTAAATTTCCCAATCTGGTGTCTTACCGTTCGAAGATGACAAGAATAAAAAACAACATCACTTCGGCATCAATTGCTCCCGTGCGATCTAACACGAGTACATTCAAGAAGAGCAAATCCTTTCCCTTTACAACGCTTTCAGGTTCTTGTGAATCTACCATAGGAGGGTTTGAGAGGCTTTGTTCAATTTGTCCGGCTATAACTGATCTGGGACCAGACAAGATTCCCCGCTATATTAACGAAGTATTGTGTGGACAAGAGACCACCTGTGGGGTAGGAGGCAGCGTGTTAGGCCTGTGCCAAAACTCTACTGTGACTCAGTCTTTCTTAATGAAAGTTGGATCAAGTTGGGAGGTTTATTCACAGGAAATAAAAGTGTGCTGCGAATGTGCACTGTTCTTTTCATGAACATAATGTAGTGTTAGTAAAATAAACGTCAGTCTTTATTTCTCAGGCTGTAATCAACTTATATAAGGTGTAATAGTAAAGGTACTGAAGAGTTCCGGCTTCGGCTGATAACACGTACCGAGATTATTCCGGATATCACAAAAATATAATCCAATAACTGTCTTAATATACAGATTTAGCCAGGGCTAAAAGCGAAGCTCCCATTAATAAATTTGTAATTTAAATCAAACAATAAACTTGTAACCCACAAATCAGTTAACTTAAGGGCACAAATGTGACTATTTAGGGAAAGCTAAGGCTAAGCGATTTTAGAGTGAAAAAAAATCTTACATCGAATTGCTAGCCGTATATGTACACCCAAAAAATAGCAATCATCTTCGATCACATTTTAGGAGCCATAATGGCTCGAGAATTGAATCAGATATACCATTCTGCGCGTGCGTATGCCCTTATGCTTATGCTTATGCGCTAGTGAAAACCTGGCATAACGAACACTACGTTGTGTGAACTTCATATGGTGTCCAAGAGGTTCAGGTCGATGGGATCTAACGCTGACCGCAAGCAACCGCTGGAGGCGGTTAGGGAAAGGCGGAAAGGGCCGCGAAAGAGTAGGTCAAGACCATCACCATTTAGCGCGAAGTTAGAAACTTTAAGGGACATGTTCACGGTTAAGCGAATGCTCATTAATTAAATTACGTTTTTCCAATTTATTATTAATTCTATCGGTTAATAGTCCCACTCACATGTATATCAGCAATCTCAGAGTGTACTTCAAAGTAGGAGTGTATTTCAGAGTAACGTGAAGCAGGATGGAGGAGTACTAAAATCGCAGAAAAAGTCAGTGAATTATGCAAACACTACCAACGTTGAATTTATTGTTGACCCGAAGATTCCATGGTTGACTAATTTACAGCTATTTGCAAATATTTAAGTTGATCAAGTGCAAGTGGCTGCCCGGGGAGAGTGCAGATTGGTTCTTTGACAACATTATGACATGATCATATTGCTCGCATAGACGATACAGCATGTCCCGGCAGAAAAACAGCTTTTCGATAAATGAGCATGCGCCGAACCGTGAACCTGTCCCTTTAAGCTGCGTAGCAGACGCGGCTGCCAAATTGTTTTGGTTTGTTTTTGTTTTGTTGCTCAGGTGCACTTTTATAAAGACTTTTGTCTCAGTATTTACAAAACTTAATGGCAACCTTTTAGCTGTATGTATCGGCTTCGAAGAGATCATCGATGAGGATGACTTTCTTTTACTCTACGATTTGAACACTTCCAAAAATCTTGATTTCTTTATTACGATGATTATTGCCGATTCCGTTCGGCCTTGGCGAGATGGATGCTATGAAGACTCACAAATGACATTATAACATATAATTCTGCACAAAAGTGCATTTAAGTCGATGTCGATTCATACAGGGTAAACACGAAGTTTAACTCACTATGGCCACTTTGTCTATTTGTCTCTCGATCTCCAGCTTCGGTTTCCGCTATGTTTTACATGTAAGACTTTTACTCTACCCGGCTTTTTACAGTTGTAAAGTGAAAATTATAAGTCAAATATTTGCTATTGACATGCAAAACCAATGGCTAATAAACACTTGTCTCGCTAAATTTGGAAAATTCTTCGCATTTAAAACGGCAAACCTTGAAGGACAAAGCTACCGTTAACTACCTTTCTCGCCGCCGCTAACTGAGGTCGAAGCGAGCTGAACATCAAGCACATATGTTAATTAGCTTAATTGGACGAAATTTTCTGGTTGTCCTCCTGCGTGCCGCCTTCAGTTGTTGCTTAAGGTCTTTGGTGTTCAAAACAATGAAATGGCGGCCATGTTGGTGAATAGAGAAAAAAATACCGTGGGGATTGAACTCTTTTCTTATGTAAAAGCCTCCTTTTTCCCAAGAAATTTGCATACTTACTGACTACGTGAGCAAAAAAACAGTGTTTATGGTTAAGAATCCAAACCCCATGCGCATGCGTACTTCTTGCTTTTATGAATATTTGAGTTCCCAAAATTATACTTCATGAGGCATAGTCGCATAGAAGACTTTTCCGTCTTTCTAGCTGGTTTAATAGTGGACGAATGAATACGTAAATTTTTCTTTGTAACAACCTATGAAAGCATTTGTTTTTCTGTGCACATAAAAAGAATTTTGTAATCAATCACAAATCAGTCTTCCGACCACTGTGTTTTAAAAGAATTGGTTCGTGAACGCGTATATCATGCGCATATCGAGTTATCATGTTTGTTATCATGTTCAAATTTCAGCTTGGTTTTTATTATTTTTATCTTCCTGTTGCACAATGGGCGTGGCCCCTGAGTGGGTGCTAAGTGTAAAACTCTGGAAGATAAAATTTATACCAACCTCGTCCCCAGGGCTTTTCCCTCAAAAAATGGGTGGGGCGGGAAAAGGCCCTGGCATCGGCTGGTCACGTGTCTCCTCGTACACCCTAAAATCCTGGGTGTAATAAATTAGCGCCATGTGAAAAGTTAAAATTATGCGTAACCTCACATCGCGCGACCTTGGGCGACCTTTTATATCTCTTGATTAACGAAAAGTTTTACAAGGTTTCCTTTTTGTCACAGATACTGGCTATGGTAATTTTTTGCTTTCCTCCGATTTCTATGAAGGGGACAGCGAATAACATTTGTAAAACTTCTGTTCATAGAGCGGTATAAGTGACAAACAAGCTATCGTACGTGCATAAAGGTTGTACTGGAAAAGTCCGCTTTCTCGACTCTTCGTTTTATTTCATTTCTTGCGAAGTGGGCCGCCGTACATAGCCTAGTTCGATTCACGTTAACTCTCAGCCCTATCATAGCGACACGCGTTGGTTTAGACTTATCCTGTATGACCCGTATTTTTAAATGAAGTCATTAAATCTAATCGATCGGTCAATCTTCTCTTTAATGTAAGGAAAATCCTTTGTACTTATCCTCGGAAGAGAAAAGATATAAGAGTTCTTCAAATGTTTCAGATCGGCGACCTGTCATCGTTCCTGGCTGAAGCCTGACTTGCATCCGGCGCGGAGATTTGTTTGTTTCATGGTCGGGTTGTAGAGAAGACCAGACTTCATAAAGCATTTTGATGAACAATTCTATTTCAGTTAAGTTCAATTTGTTTAAATTCACTGCAGATCCTGGAGGCAAAGGCCCGCATTTTTGTTTGACATTTGACAAAATCACTTTCCGCTTGACTGTAGAGTAATTCCACAGTCACGATGAAGTTTAGTTGAAGTACTAGTCGATAACAGTGGGACATAACGGCTTGTCTCAACGCTGAAGCATTTGACATATTTTGTACGTGACAACGTAGAACCGGTATGCCCTTTCATAAACTTCTAGCAGTTGAATAATGCGCAATTAAATGGATCTTAAGCTTTTGTTCGCACACACGCGAAAATATTGACATAGTTTGCGATGTTATTATTTTCCATTGTTACTCCGTTCGACTTCTGTCAGCGCAAAACCAGCGGGTTGCATATAAATTAGCTTCTCAGGAATAATTAGGCTGTACACGTGACCAGCCGATGCCAGGGCCTTTTACCGCCCCACCCATTTTTTGAGGGAAAAGTCCAGGGGACGAGGTTGAATTTATACTAAACAACAGATAAAATTGACCACAGATTACTTCGAAAGTTTGCAGAGCACTTCAAGATGGTAGAGTTGCCCTTTACCTCTAACGCGCCAACTTCCGCGTGTTAACTCCCGCATGACTAACTCAATATTTGCTCGCTAAGCATAAACAAATTTTTAATTAATAAAAATGACATAATGAGACTTTTTATCATTATTACTTCATCCTTTATTGATCCACTTATTTATATTATGTTCTTTAATTTTGCCGAGTGATAATTTCCTTGGGCTCGACGCCGGCCTTTTAAAACTCTTACCCATAGGCCATTTACACGATAACGTCATGCTCATCTACCAGTATCCTTTATTTGTTTCAAAGCTATTGCAAATGGTATTGAGATTATTATAGGTAAAAAAGGAAAAAAAAAGGGAGTGATTCTTGTAGTTGTGGTCAGGTTACTCCAAAGAGCAATAAATGGTTAGCAGTTTGGTGTTATTGACTCACGCTATACCGTCTTTTTTCTCTTCATGAGTTACGCACCATTAGTGTCATAGATCAGTGATTTTACGACATTTTGACGCATTTTGAAAATACTTAAGCTTTAAATGTTAATACTTATTGCACTAATCCTAAGGTGATCTGACTTTTAATGGTTAGCTTCAACAAATCAGTAAGACGGAAAATTTTGTCGCTGTGAAAGACCTTTGTTCTGTCCGCTAGAGCTCTGCTAAAAGGTAATGCGCTCTACCTCAGTCTGTTAGGGCACGGGAAGGGGGAGGGGCTAGGGGTGCCTCGACCACCCCTTCCCCCCAAACGTTTTTTGCGACAGAAACAATATATACTGATGGCTGCTTGTTAAGAAGCATGAAACAATGAGTAGCAATAAATTTTCAAGACCTAACCCAGTTCCATCAACTATTGAGTACTCTATGACTTATAGTCGATGAGGACATCACTCTGGCATTTCGTTATAACTTTCATTGTATATTTCATTTTCAAGTTCTTCACTAAATAGTCTCTAAAACGTTTTTTGATATTAGACTTAGGATCTGGATGTCAGTCTTGCCCACAATAAGGGAATAAAAGGGTGGATAGTTGAGATAGTTTAAATGAAATGTAAGGTTTAGCACTGTGCGTCTTTCTAGTTTAAATCCTAGCATAATTGCGCGCCTGTGCGCAAACCAGAAAACCATGTAAAACTTCCTGAAGTGAATCGGAGGGCTGAGAACCCGGAAACTGAGAGCGACTGTTCCTTGAACAGTGGAAAACACACTGCATTTAGCTTTTCGACATTGATATAAATTCGGTCTTTGCTAGAAGGAATCTGTTAATAATCGTACCCTTCTTATAACAGTAACATCTATTTGCGATGAACTGGCATAGAAGACTTCCTCAGACATTACCCCTCCCGGGGTTTCCCTACGCACTTGAATCCAGCGTCCCCCGCACTTAAAAAACTGCTGCACGGGCCCTGAATAACAACTTATATTTCTAGACTCATTGTAACACCCTGAGAACTTCCCTGTTATAGCGGTTCAATACCAGCAGCCTAAGTACATTCTCAAACAAAATAAACGTCAGCAAAAAAGTGGTGAAAGTGGAAGTGGAAGAGGAAATATTGCTTGATCTCTTTCCATCTCTTTCCTGCAGCGTTCTCTCCTCCTGATGATTAGTTTTTAACACGTGATTGTCTGGATGTTCTTACTGTCTCCTGAAAACTTCTAACTACCCTAATTTTACCATTATAGCTGAAAGCACCCTTTGAGTTACGATTTTGTAAAAGGTGTGCATGCGAATATTCAGGTACATGCGGTACTTGGCTTTCAAAACTGAATATTGATCTTAAAGGAACGTGTTATAAGTGACTATCAATTCATCATCCTATTTTTCCCTGACAACGTCAAAAATATTTCAATTTAAGGTATTTATAAATAGCCTTGTTTGTGTCTCTATTAGCCAGTTGTGGTTTAAACTTCCCTCAAGCATACAGTTCAGACAGTTATAGTTTATCCGACCCTAAACAAGCCAGAAACTGAGCTCTTCAGGACATAAGGTACAGCAAGTAAATTGCAGCCGTTAGTATCCATATAAAGTTAATGCGAGTAATTACATTTTACCATAGTGATCTTGAGTCCGCCATAGACAAGTCCAACGTTTCATGGTTTTCATAAGTTTCAACTCCCAGATACTTCAAAAGACTTCGGCAGATAACAGTCGGAGGGCATTTAATCATGTGTACAATAGATTTAGATAAATAGATTTATTTGGAGTTTGGGTGTATTGTATTTTGCTACTGCAACATAAAGCTTGTAAATTTATGATTCAACTTAAATAACTGCAGAGTCACAGGGGACCTATGCAACCGTGACCGTTTTCAGCGTCTTTTAACATGATTAACAGAAAATATATGTAATACCTATACCTAGCTAGCAATATCGTGTAATAGTTCGATGATTATTCACTTATGATTAGTGAAAATTAAAATGACCTAACTTAAATTGAACTGCGCGCTTTGTCTTCCTTTCGAGCGTAAATGGCGAATTTGGGTCCGCTAATGTAAGACCACTCAAGTCACTCGAGAATTCGTCGTCTACATTTGAAACATCGACAAGACATGACACGCCATTAAGAAAAGACCACGTTTCTTTTGGCAATACAAGGTAATAGTCATCCTAACATTCCACTACATTATAACATTATAATAACCAATCTATAGGGTAAATCAGTACATTTTTATACATTTCCTGGTAAAAGATCACGATTACACAGCTTTCATAGGCTGTTCGTTGATAAATGCAAAAAAACAATAACAACCCGATGAATATCGAAAAAACGATAGAAGTTTTCTAAAAGACAAAGTTGACGGATGAAACGGTGATCCCATACGTACCCTAAAAGCTCGATGGGAGCGGTCAGGAAGCAAGATGGAAGCGAGAAGTAATAGAGGGATGGACTTAAGACTTGTTGTTGTCTTCCCCTGTCTTCCCTTGATTAATATGCATAACTGTCTTCCTCCGTATCTAATGGGGGTCTTCCTGCATACTAATGAGGGTATTCCTGCATACTAATAACTGTCTTCCTGCATACTAATAACTGTCTTCCTGCATATTAATTATGTGACTAGTCAGTGTCTTCCTCCATACTAGTGACGGTCTTCCTGCAAACTAATAACTGTCTTCTTCCATACTAATAACTGCCTTCCTCCATATATAATTAAGTGGTTGGTCGTTTCTTTTCATATTGAAGATCACAATAGAAACAATAGGGTTGGCTAGACTTGCCCTGTCTCTTTTAACCCTGATTGGCTCATGTAGAATCTATTATGTGTTCAAAATAAAAGCGGGTAGATTTCGAATCCGCTCTCTTTCTTGCGATCTTTCTAAGGAAAAAAAGTCTTACTATCACCAATATTCTTTAAAACATTGCTCCAAACATGCAAGTCGAATCAAGCGCTACACCTCTGTTGACGATTGATGAAGTAGAGAAAGTCCAGCGTCAAAGGACAGCCAGTTTTGTTGGACATGCGTGATTCCAACTGACTTATGCGGCTATGGTTGACAAACTCTTTCAACAAACAATTTATTTGAGTTCGCTAGCCTATAACTAAAAAACCGGTTTAAAAAAAAAAAAAGAACGTAGGCGCAAAATGGAGGTCAAACTCTTTATTTCAATCTTGATTGCCTATTACAAAAACAGTGTTCTCTCTATGAATTGACTATGTCTTGATATCTTCATTGTTACACGCTCCGTTAACCAGTAGTAATTTGCATCTGACCAGTATTCACTCTCTCATACCTCTTTTGTGTTCTCATAAATTGAAAAATTAATGCTGAACTCTTCTAACAAAGAGATAAGGTACCGTTTATCACACAATTGTTAGATCTATTGAAGAATAAATATTGAAAAAATAAATATTCCACTGTAAAGTGCATCGACAACCGTTTGATGATTTGGTTATTGGTCTATCGAACATTCGTTTGGTTCTTTTCTAGGAAAGATCTTACACTGGGATCGTCTTTGTGCAAATAAATCCATTTCGATCTTCCATTGCAATAGTTTACTATTTTCACAGGCCAGTAATTTCCGCACGATTATGATGGAGGATACAGATCATAAAGATGCCTGGCAACGCGTTACATTTTCGAGACCCTAAAGTCTTTTGGTTGGCATCGGGGCGCTCGTTGCATATAATTTTGTTCAACGGGATAGGCTGTTTTAGACCAAACTGAATCAAAAGGAAATGACCGTGACTTTCTTGCAATTTGCGGGGAAGACTTGACTACAGGAGGCTACTGATGACCTAGCTTCGTAAGCAATGTTTTCCTTGTTATTGGTCGTTTTGACTGACTGTTTCGTCTGATTTCGGGAAGCTGTTAATAGTCGGATATCGACGACAAGAGCCGAAAATGTCACTCAATACTTGCTTATCACTCGGTGTGTCTGGTCGATTATCAACGAAGATATAACCAAACGCTCTTTCTGTTTCTTGAAAATAAGCTGACATGACTCGCGGGCGATTTTTGTCAAACATGTGTTCGGCAATGATATCGATTTGTTTTCGATTGCTAGGACTTCGGAAAAGAGCCATGTACTGAGCATTTGGCTGATGTCCGTGTTAAATTTTCTCTTTGGAAACATATTTTGTGGCAGAAGTATCACATTAGCATTTCTATGTCGGCCTTGAGTAAACAGAAGGGAAAAGAGAGAACTATCTGTTGCTTGGGCCATAAGATCATCAAACACTAACACATTGTTAAACTTTGGGTCAACTTCCCGAAGGTCTTCTTTAAACTCCGGAAGGCCACGAATAAACTGAATTTCCTTTCCGATAGATGACTGTATCACTTTGTAGCTATCCTGCCACTGACTGTAGTACCGCCATATATATTCGCCTCGGTTTCTTGCTCTCGTAAAGAATACGATCCGTTCTGAGAATGTTTTCAACCCCCTTGTTTTACCACACTGGGTGGGGCCCACCACGAGAAGTGAAGATTTATGTCAACACATAAATTCTGGATATGCTTTTATTCCAGGAAAACAGTGTTAGACAATTTAGGCCTCTTGACTATACAATGCTGAGGGTTTTTCGTTTCTTTGACAGCTGCAGTAGACACTCCTTGTGTTATACCCAGATTTCTCTTAGATTCCGAAAATACTGCTGCTTTTAACCATCGCTTTCTTTTGTGGCTCGTTAATCGATGCACTTGACGCTGGTGATCACCCAAGAGAGTTACTCTGGCTTGCCACATACCGGGCAATCTCTCTTGAATTTATACGGCACTTTTACCGCATAAGTTATTTTCCTGTTTATATAGCCTCGCTAATCAAATTTGATGTCATCACTAGTTCTAATCCAATTCTTGTCAATCGTGATGTAATATTAGGGCGATGTAGGGTCGATGTAGGGTTGATGTGGGGTCGATGTCGGGTCGACGCCTAGGCGATGTGAGGTTCATGAGGGGTCGATGTGGGGTTGATGTAGGGTAGATGTGGGGTCGATGTAAGATCGATTATTATTTATGAAGGAAAACGCTTAGTAACCCCGCCTTCACCAATATTCTTTAAAAGAGGTACGAGATTAGTTTCTTATCAGAACGCGTGCGTGTGGAACAGTAGCCATCATTACAACCTTTTTCAACAAGGTTCTGGAAATTATGAATACAGCGAAGAAAGCGATTTCTCCCAAGAAAACGAAGTCTTACAAGCCAGCTGAGGAACGGAGTCTTCCCAAGAAGAAACTGAAAGCTTAGAGCCTTGGTCGCGCATTTTTGATGAAGCCGAGAAACGCCATGAGACCCAGTTCAAAGCATTAATCAATGAGTACGAAGGGAACGGAGAGTCAGAAAATGTTGCCCGCGTGAAAACCAAGAACGCTCTCGTTCCTGTTTTCAGAAAAGAGCAAACAAAAGTACTCTTAGAGAATCTACAGTGGATGCGTGCAATGTAAAAAGACCCCACCTTCAAAAAAGTGATGGAAACCCAAAAAGAGCTTAAAGATTCAGAAGGATTTGATTGGCTAGAATCGACAGAACTTGCCACCGATAACCGAATTTATTCCACAAGATTAAGACTAGACCTACTACGAATGTTACAGAATTTTTTATTTCCTGGACCTTTGTCAGTATTGTTGCGTTTCAATAAAACTGTAAACAACCAAACTTTAAGCGTGTTTTATTCCAAACAAACTTATTTCATTTATTTAAAACAAACAGGGAGACTTAGGGTTCCTTATATTGTTAAGCATAGCAATACATTTTGATCTGGGTGCATCTTGCACAAACCCTCTAGAATAAGAAAGCAACTTTCTATCGTTTTCAATCTCTTCACGTTCTTCAGGGGTGATGACATAACGTTGAATAGGGAAGGAGTTTGCCTTCAATGTGTCTTTCATACAAAGCCTTCAACACACGGTAACTTTCGGGAAGATGCCTGTCTTCCTGTGCGTAGAAGACCCGCATTAGATATGGAGGAAGACAGCTATGCATATTAATAAACGGAAAACAGGGGAAGACAACAACAAGGCTTAATTTTATCCCTTTATGACTATTGAAGCGTTTTTTTATTTAGCGTCGACATCTCTTAATTGTTGTCTTTTTTCGTCGTGGTTTTTTCATTTTTAGACAAGATCTTGTTATCGAAAATTGAACCTATCGAAAACTCGCTGAACTTTAATGACGACGTGTTCAAGAAGTTGCTAAGTAGAGTGGAGACGCTCGAGAAGACAGTGAAAGCTCTTCAACTATAAAATCAAGCTCTGAAGTCTCAAATTAAATCTGTTAATACTAAGGAGAAAGAGAATTCAGCTTTGTGCTACTCCCAGTTACATCAACTGAAGTAGAGGATGTGATTACTGACCTACATTCATCTAAAGCTTCCTGTCATTATAGCATCCCTATGTGATTGCTAAAGCTCATTAAACCTGCATATCATTTCCTTTACAATTAATTTCTAACCTCTCCTTTAGTAGTGGCTGTGTGCCAGATCATTTTAAGCTAGCTAACGTTATTCCTATCCACAAGAGGGACTCTGTGATTTGCATGAACAACTATCGACCCGTCTCTCTGCTTTCTAGTTTCAACAAAATATTGGAAAAACTTGTGCATAAGAGACTTGTTAATTTTATTGATAAATACAACATTTTGTATGTCAACCAGTTTGGCTTTAGAGAACAACACTCTACAATGCATACAACTCTTCTAATTACAGATAAGAACCAGAGAGCTATAGAATATGGCCTATTCTCATGCGGAATCTTCATTGATTTGTCAAAAGCCTTTGATACTGCTGTCCATAGCATATTAATTAGAAAACTAAGTCATTATGGGATCCGTGGAATTGTAAATGACTGGTTTACTTCCTATTTGCACAATAGGAGGAAACATGTTTCTATTGGTAGCACTAAGTCTGATGACATTGTTATTACTAATGGAGGTCCGCAGGGATCGGTGCTAGGTCCCCTCCTATTTCTCTTGTATATTAATGACTTATAATAAGTAACTGCAGCGAATTATTTGACTTTCGCATTTTTGTAGATGATGCTAATTTATTTTATTCCAATCGTAGTCTAACTGAACTAGAGGATGTTATTAATAATAATCTTTGGCTTATGGCAAACAAGCTCTCATTAAAAGTCGACAAGACATATTCCATTATTTTTCACCCCCTCAAAAGTCAACAAGTCACGTAGTCAAATTATTAATCCCCAATAGGGAGATTAAACAAGAAAAATAAATTAAATATTTAGGATTACATATTGACTCACACCTTAGTTGGAAATTCCACGTTTTGCATATTTAAAAAAAAAAATTAAGCGCTGTATTAGAAGACTTCCTAAAATTAGGGACTTTGTTAGCCAACAGGTCCTTATTCAGTCATACTACACACTTATTTATCCTTCTTTTTACTTACAGCTTAATTACCTGGGGAAATACATATCCACCTTCTCTACAGCCTCTTATCACTTTACTGAAAAAAATCAAATAGAGTTATAACCTTTTCTGATTTAATTCTCATTCTAGTCCTCGACACACCTGAACATGTCCTTTACTTTAACATAAGATTGGCTAAGACTGGATTCGGCGACTGACTTGTGGTGAAAAGATTCTATGAGATTCTATTCTCTCAGGTGATAAGTTTGACGCATGGCACTGACGCGACCTAATTTTCTTCATGTTCCTTATATTCCTGTAGATGGCCTTTCGAACAGTGTTTTTGGCTGCCAATCTACCTTTACTCTTCGGCTCCTTGCATTGGAGGGGAAACGTTCCAGGCGACGGCAACGAGTTCAACAGAGGTCTCAAACTTTTAGGATTAAAGCCAGGGCCACTGGGCTACTTCAACTCTGGCTACATGGCCTTCACTCGAGCAGAGGCAGATAAATTTCCCAATCTGGTGTCTTACCGTTCGAAGATGACAAGAATAAAAAACAACATCACTTCGGCATCAATTGCTCCCGTGCGATCTAAAACGAGTACATTCAAGGAGAGCAAATCCTTCCCGTTTACAACGCTTTCAGGTTCTTGTGAATCTACCACAGGAGGGTTTGAGAGGCTTTGTTCAGTTTGTCCGGCCATAACTGATCTGGGACCAGACAAGATTCCCCGCTATATTAACGAAGTAGTGTGTGGACAAGACACCACCTGTGGGGTAGGAGGCAGCGTGTTAGGCCTGTGCCAAAACTCTACTGTGACTCAGTCTTTCTTAATGAAAGTTGGATCAAGTTGGGAGGTTTATTCGCAGGAAATAAAAGTGTGCTGCGAATGTGCACTGTTCTTTTCATGAACATAATGTAGTGTAAAATTAACGTCAGTCTTTAGGTGTAATAGTAAAGGTAAAAGAGTTCCGGCTTCGGTTGATAACACGTACCGAGATTAGGTTGTGCTGATTTCCAAAATTAACTGTAGGCTCTTGGCCAATGTGGAAACAGGCAGTGAGTGCAATTCACTAATATAATAATTATGACACTGCTGTGATGGTGGTCTTCAATTCTAAATTTGCTGTTATTCCCCAGCAAATAATTCACCCTGGCTCGGTACAGTAATGTGCTTGCTTCGCTTTCCTTGGAAGTTAGTGAAGGCTCACATTTCTGCAACCCTCCGTGTTTTTGCTGAGTATAAATCTGACGGCGTTAGTTATTACCAGGTAACTTTATCAGCAAAACTTTCCTCAAATTTTAGCATTTTTGAAAACTCAAGGGGAAAAATGCAAGATTTTGTCATTTCTAGCCAGCCTTGCTTTCACTGAGGGAAAACTAAAAGCTAGTAAACACTCGTGTCATCGTTTAAACTGTTTTGTTGTGGCTCTTGTTTTGTTGATGTTGTTGTTTTTTATTTGTCAATACCCTCCAAAATGACAATAATAGTAGAAGAGTTTATATTCTTGCCAAGGTATAAACATGTTTTGGGACTCTTCTCAGAACTCATTTTAACACTCGCCTAGAGCCAGAATAGGGCTAAAATGAATGCCGTGAGTGACAGTCGCGACCAAAAGTACATTTATAAACGCCCACATTTCAAACTCTATTTTTGAAATATCTCAACTAGTTGAACTGTACTCACTGAAGAGATTTTGTGATGAAACATTTGGCCCGCTTATATTATGACGATATTTTGCAATACTGTTTCAAGCTAATTAACGTGAAATATTTTTGTATTATTGCAATTAATTAACTAACAAATATTACTAATGTTACTTATCTATTATATACCAACATAATGGTACTCTGATAAACTTCCTCCAAAAGTTTGACGTTTTTCAAACCTCAGATCTCTGTAATTCCTTTTCGCTAATCCCGTCTCCAATCAAAAAGGCTTTATCACGAAAAGGAATGTTCATTTGCCGTGGAAATACCTTGAGACTAGCGATTTTGATTCTAAGTATGCTTCCCGGGTTGAGAAGTTTTTTGACAGGTATCTGACGATTATGTAATCAATGTAACGAAATTTGCCAAACTTGAAAACTTGTTGCTTAGCGCATCTTTGTATAGTTAATACAGGTACAGGGACATTTATTCAGCATAGCCAGTTTAGCAAGACTTGGAGTCCTGTGTATCTGACTCATATAATAAAATACGTGAAAATAAGTTTGCATTTGACTTTAAATTTATCTCGGCTGATATTGACAAGAAGCGAAATATTTGTAACCGAAATGGTACCATTACAGGGGGGGGAGGTGTCTCCAAGGAAATCTGTGGTACAGTCCGCCTGCCAGTATGACGTCACGACTCGCGTCAGTAACTTTCGAAATGTCCAGTGCAGTAATGAATTTTAAAGATTCCTTTCTATCGTCCAGCAAATTTTACAGGCAATTATACCGACCGGTCACACCAGTTTTGAGGGCCAGTACACAGCTAGATTGAGAAGTTAAGACACAGCAAAAGGAGGTTCATCAAAGGATGTATTATACTTTACATTGTGCGTATTTTCAGCTCTTCAGAGCTCGTGCAACCCCATATCATTCCTCTTAAAGTTCGCTTAGCTGTAGCGTTAAAAGAGGAAGATAAATGACAGGTATTTGAATCTTGTTGTTTTACCGCACTTTAATACTGCATTGGGTATACACCTGTAATTCTGTAATTAAATCACTTAAACCAATAAAAGGTTTCGTTTAATTCTTTTTTGGGGGCAACTGACCCAGTGGAGATTTTAGGGTAATAATATTGAATGTTAAGACGATGTACAAAGGCACTGGTTTAACTTTCACCAGTGGGACACTGGTGGGTGTTGGGTGTAAATTAGTACAGTTTGTGGTGTACTGTGTGTTGTTTGTCATGATCAACTAATATTGAAAAAAAACTCAGCTGTTTCAGAGGAGGGACATGTGTTGATACCTTATGGTTTTTTTCTGGTCGTAAGCTTGGCCAGTATGCAGTTCAAGAGTTTTTGAAATCCCTTTTCCAAAATAAAACTCTGGACTTAAGCTTAAAATATATATTGATCCAAGTGGCAGAGTCAGGAGAAAGAATAAAGAAGAAAAGGCCAAAAGGGAAAATAGTGTTTAAAACTAGGGGTACCTTCAGGCAAGTGCCAACGAGGCGAATACTTTTATCTTTTGTGGAATGTGCCTATTCAGATCTTTACAATATATTTTTTTTTCATAATTTTAGAGGTTTAAAATGGATTCCGCTATAGAAAAGGATGGCACCCAACTTCAAAACAACAACTTTGGCACACTCTAGGCTTTCACTTTTATTAAACAATAACAACATGGCTTGAAGCTTTGTTCGTTGGTAAATATGAGCAAGTTAGCACTTATGTTTCATGGAAAATTCCATTGTATCAAAACTATAAACGTTAGAAAGAAAAATATAGTTCAAATGAGGCCTTCAACTGCTGAAATTAAAGATAATAATTAATTTCCGAACAACAGCGTCATCAGGGATAAGAATAATATTTCGCGTAGTAATATACATAAGAAAAAATTGGTGTAAAGTAAAACGGTGAAAAGCGCAAGAATGGGGTGGAATGTATCAGAGGTAATAAAATATAAACTTGATAAAATACAAAGATCTAATGAGCGAGTGTCACAGGACAAAGACACAATGGTAGTCTTCAAAACAAAAGGTCCGCAAGTTCGTTGTATTCCTCACGGGAGTTTTGGGCTGTCTCAATGTAAATCGAGCAGCAAAAAAACATGCTGGTTGACAAAATCTAAAGACGTGAATAAATTCTAAAAAAAGGTCTGCAAATACGTTGCACTCCTCACGGGAGGTGAGGACTGGCTCAATGTAAATCGACCTGCGAAGAACACGCTGGTTCTAATATAAGTTTTGAGAATATAACCCTATGCCTTAAAAAAAAGAAAAAAAGGAACACGGAAAACCCTGGTTCTGATTTGAGAACCGAACACGTTACCTCATTGTAAATGGAGCTGCAAAGAACAAGCTGGTTCTTGTAACAATTGTTTATTTATTGTTTGTTTGCCAAAAATTGTACAAATGAAAAAAAATAAATCTAATTACTTAAACTCTCATGGCGAGGAAGCCCAAGAGAAGCCACCGGGCTTATAAGGAATGGGCTCCCTCAGTTAAATAATAAGAACAAAATATCATCATAATTACACATGGGGAAATCAATGGCAGAGCTACAGTAAATCTTAAAATAAGTATATTAGATAGTCGTACTAATCATAGTTCTAGGGTAAAAAAAGCGAAATGACAAAAAGAAAAAAAAAACAAAAACGAAAGAAAATAAAAGAGCAAAGGAAGAAAAAAAAATACATATATATATATAAATTACTATTTATGATAAGAGGAATGCTTTCAGCTTACAGCAAAAGGAAGCGGTACTTGTTGCATTTCGAATTTCAAAACTAAGAGAGTTAAAAAATTTAGGACCTTGGAAACTGATGGAGAATTTTCTAATATTAGTCCTGCATTGTGGTAAATAAAAATGCTCTGAACTTCTAGTGCCATAAG